TGCCCGCTCTTTGCACTTGTTGGCTTGAAGCGGTAAAGTAGATTGTTTGACATTTTAAATAGAATTGAATTTTAATTACCGTAGCATTTGAATTGGAATTCAGTTGGAATTGAATTAGAATTAGGTCATTTAGGATTTTACTTATCATTCAATTGAATTTTAATGTTGAGTAAATTCCAATATAGTCTTTTGTCATTGGAATTCAAAGAAAACTACTTCTATGCAATATTTACTGCTTTTCAATTTAATTTCTGTGCAGTTAATGCATTGAATCCGAAAAACAGTTGCATTGAACTATAAATTAGAATGAAACAAAATTGAATTGGAAAGCAACATAGAATTAGACTAGAATTGTAAAACAACTGATTGAATTGTATAAGATTTAAACTAGTTGAAACTAAAAGTTAGTTACACATAAATTGACATATATACGGATGTCACACTTATGTACAAAGTCACAGGTGTTGGGTTCATTGAAAACAAGGGGCTGCCCCAGCAACTCCCCACGAAGCGAAATAAGTCTGACTTTTGACATGCACGTGCGCAATATGTTTTCGCCCGCAAGAAGCTGTGCAGCCAAAGATAGAGAGAATACTTTAGCACTAGCTCTGGCTCTCGCGCAAATTCTGATTGATTGAGAGCGTTTGGAGAAATGGCTGGAGGCCTCCTCAACTCACCCTTCCTATAAATCCTATAATACAGGCTGTGAGGTTGTGCTGCAAGTTGCACTTTTGCAGGTGGCTTTCCGAGACCCAATGAATTTGGTTGACATTGCCGCCGTTGTTCCGTTGGCTTTGCGACTAGAAAATGGTTTTGAGCTGCCCACAGTGGACCAGAAAGCCGTCAGCCACTACATCTTGGCCAGCACCTCATTGCCTGCTGAAGTGAGAGCGCTTGGACTGTTTTGCCATTGTTTCTATTTGCCAGATCGCTTTTACGGAATAAACAAACAACAAGACGGAACGCAACACACATGAAATACGACGGAGACACCTATAATAAGAACCAAAGAGTCCAAGCCTACAGCTTTCCTACAGAGCGTAGCTAGACTGGCGCAGTGTCCTGATGGCAGGTTGGCGTTGTGCCTACAGTTCGCCTGCTAAAGCTAATCCGTCGGTTTGGCAAACTCAGCCTCGTGACTCACGCCCTTGCCACGACCGGAGATGCATTGAAACTGTTGCTTTTTCTTCTTTCAGCAACTCCGCTGCAGTGTTGTTAGCCCTACCACCAGTATGTAGAAGGAAGTGGCTGCAGCACACTTTGAGCTCGTAGATGCATGCATCAGAAGACACCATTCTCAAACAAAGAGCGGAGTCGACGTTCACTGCGAGGTGATCGTGCTGTGCTTCTCTACTTTGATGTATGTGGTGGAGCCTCACGAGAATATCAATTCATTGACCACAGCAATGTACATTTGCACAGTGACCGTGACCACAGTGGGGTATGGCGACGTGACACCAACAACGAATTCTGGCAGAGTATTGGCTGGAGTGCTATGCTTTATCAGCGTGCTTTTTATGGCGATGCCGATCTCCGTGCTGGGAAATGCCTCTTGGCAAGAAGCGTGTTAAAAACTACCTTCCAAGTTCTAGCGACCCCGCTCGTACGATATAGACCATGATAAGGGTATTCCAAATCTTCGGCTTGGCCTGTCGGCCGGTCGGATGAGTCCATCATATAGGCGATGACACATGCCTGGGCGGACCGGAGCCGCATATTGCTGATGACAAGAACCCGTCAGAGACTCAAGAACTATGGCTATGAAGCAAGCTGCTGGCCGGCAGTGTGAGGCAGCACAACGTGGCATGCTCATAAAGGATCAAGCATGGAAAGGAACGGAAGTACCAAGAACAATTGTCTCCCGCTTCACATCCAAGGTGACATGCCATCGTTATTCAGAAAGTTCGACAGCAATGGAAATGGCGAACTTACAATGGATGAGTTTTGCGATGCCTGCCCTAACTTCAATAGTTCAATAGCCATAGGCAACAGAGGCTTACTAGGTTCAATAGCGTGACGTCCCAGTTCGACTGTCCAAAGATGTTTTTGTTCTTTGTGTATATATATATATATACTTCACTTTTTGCTCCTTCTCGGGACTTGCAGTGTCTTTAATGCAAAAGAACGAACTCAGGATATGATCGGCAAAATGAATGTCGGCATCAGACCATCAGAGGCGGAGGAGCTTTTCGAGCTCTTCGATACCGATGCCTCGGGAGGAATCGATGACAAAGAATTCATGAAGGCGTTGTTCCCCGATGACTACCGCAGAATCTACATGCGAACGACCACCGCCACAATGACATTCACATAGGCTGGATTTTGAAGCGGTCGCTGAAGAGTATGTTTCTCGGGATTGACCATTGGCTTCGGATTTCCAAACTCGATTTGGCTGTGTGGTTGACTCTAAATGTCCTTGGAACAACAGCCTTTTTGCCCTTTGAGTGCATCAATGGTTTACGCAGTACAGTACCGATCTTGGTTGGTTCCGGGCATTTCATCCAATAGTAATGTTTGATTTCCGGGAAACCCTGGTTGTGTGGAAAACAGCAGCAGGGCTGTTTGTAGGAACAATGAGGGAGTGAATGCTGGTGGCGACCATTTTGGCGCAAGATGGAGATAAAGTTATTTGCTCAACCTCACAATAATTGCAGGCAGGTGTTGACAATGAACATGACTTTGGCAGACGTGACGATGCCAATCCGGGCACATAAAAAGAAAAAACATGAAAAAACACATACAGTGGGCAGCGATGTTCATTTTTTGGGATTGTTTTGCGGGTTTGTTATTTGTTTCTTGATTTTGTTGTTTTCGTTGCTTTTGGTACGGGCCCATTTTTGTTTTATTGCTTTTGCTATTTGTTATGTTTGGTTCGCCCTGGGGGGAGGCGCTGCGTCCCCGCAACCCCCTCCATCGCCACGAAATGCATTATTTCTTCCACTTGCGGCACCTGCCACGAAAACCGATTTGTTTCAATTGTTGACCATGCTGTACTGCACCAACAACTTAAACAAAATCTGTGCTACGTCTTCTCCAGCATTGCTCCCTATTGCTTCCTGTGCTGTGCCTAGGCTGGCATCCAAAATGTGCCTGTCACTTACAACTTGCTAATAAGGCTTCCAGTTTTTTTTTGTCCCGGCGGTGTTGCTTAAGGCTTAAGGATGCTGTGCTTGCCTTGAACTCAGGAACAAATGCAGATATTCAAGTGTACTCCCTACTTTTGCACTCGGGATCGAATTTAGTGGAGGAAAGAACCACTCCAACATAGCATACCTTTGGTGGGCCGACTTAAGGGTAAATCTTAATAACATTTAGCGGAGGAGGGAACTATTCCAAGGTGGCATACCTTGTTGTGAGACACCTGCTGAGGGCAACATTTAAACGAGGACCAACATAGCATACCTGTTGTGGGCCAACTGAGGGCAAAGTTTGGATCAGGAAGGGGAATCATTCCGAGGAAAACGTAAAGGGGCATAGCTTTTGTGAGCCAACCGAGGGTTAAGTTTAGGAACCATTCCAACGTAGCTTACCTTTTGTGAGCCAGTTGATGGTATATAAGATTTAAAGGGAGGCCCAACCGCTGACATCAGCTGCGGATGCAGACGGATGTAGACGGTGCATGTCCAAAGGGTTGTAAACAGGACACTCAAACTGCTGTAAGTGGTAGCGAGTGTGAGGTCCCAGGATGCTGAAAAAAGCAGAAAAGAACTAAGAACTCAAATTGAAACAGCACCCATACATTATAGAGTTTTTTGTGCAAGACATTGATGGTGTATGATATGCTTCTGCCAGGCTGGCCAGCCCTTCCCACGTGTCTCACCACATCCGGCATGGATTGTCGTGCTAATGGCATCCCTTCAATGAGTAGCTCATAGTCAAGGGGCCTTCAAATAATTACAAAGGGGGCGCCGTTCTCATGTGTGGTTCAGAGTTCAGACAGAGTAGTGACAACATGCGACAATTTTTCCTTTGGCCATCCGATCCTTCAGTCCACCCCACTCGAACAATTTTAATTCAAGTGAGACGCGCTCGAACCACATCTACAACGGTTTCCTGAACCTCAGCAGGCAGGTATCTACGAAAAGCATGACACTTGGCCCAGCAATGGGCCTTCCATTATTGGATCTCACACTTCAGTAGGCACAAAACAGAGGCTGGGGGACGGGGCGATGTTTTTGGAACGGAGGAAGCAAAGCCGTCAAAGACGGCTCTTTTTGCTTTTCGTGCTCCAATTTTGCCTGCAGAGACGTAGAAAGAACCTGCCAAAGGCAGAGCCAAGGCATGAGGCTTTTGTCAGCCCTTCTCAGGCAATTGGCAGCTCCACGAACAGATGCCCGTGCAAATCAGGCGCCAGCAAAAGACGCAGCACAGTTCGGTCATATTAGCATCGTATCGCAAGGCATGCCAAGTATATAGCACTGCTTTGTTGCTGCCATTTGGTGCTCCATTTTGAGTATTGCGCATGCAAATAGATCACCGTCGTCACATGGTGGAGGCAGGTGCCAGCTCTAGTGGATTGTTTCTTGAGCGTAGGCCTCACCATCAAGGGTTCACTTCCTCTCCGACTGTGCGGAGTAGCTGCGAGCACAAGAAGAATCTAGAATCTAGAGTCTAGATTCTAGATAGCGAGAGAGGGAGGCAATGCTGAGCAAGGTGATGCTTGTGCATTTGTTTGCTAGCAAGCAAGCCCAAGTGCGAGGCACCGCCACCAAAGCGACAGAAAGATGAGTTGCAAGGACAACATGCGGCCATGCGCACCTTTTGTCCATTAAAGGGGAATTTTGGGCAACAAGAGCTAGGATGAAGCCACGGGACCTGGGTGAGAGAAAGCATGAAAAGATTAAACAGATAGCAAAAGGATGCAAGAATTTTTGCAGAAAGGATGAAAAAGGCAGCTGCAGCTGTTTGGCTTCATGAGTTTTTCATTCGCACTGGCCTTTGCTGACGCCTGCAAGGGCGCCTCGAACTTCTCAGCTTGGCATGGGCGGGCATGGGAGGAGTACATATATAGTTGCAAATGGGTTGTATAATGTTGTATAGTACGTTACCTAACTTCAGACAGCCTCCGCTTCGTTCTTGAAGTGGGACTGCGTTTGCATCAACATTTGTAGTATAAGATTAGATGCATTATTTATCATGGTAAAGAGTGCAGCACCTGGCTTGGCATGGGCAATAATCAAAAATATTTTATCAGCAATTCACTTGTGAATTTGTACATGCACGCAACCAGCACTGCAGTGAAGCCTCGCTTGACCGTGGCACTTCTCCGTTCTTGCTTGTCTATGATTTGTGCAATGAGTGAAGTTTCATGATTTAGCTATTGGTTATTGAAGAACGCATATGAGCTGAGGGTTTGTGTTTAGACATTGGGCAGGCACCCATGTGATGTGTGTGCATTTGGATGTGCTTTCTGCAACAGTGTGGTGCCTGTCAGATTGGGGAAGCAAGGTGATTCCGGTGCCAACGGTCGCCGGTGTAATTATACTACACCCGTAGTTAGTCTTGAGTATAAAGGTCTTTCATAAATGTAAAGACTGGTTTAGGACAAACAAGCGCGCAATGAAACATGAGTTTAAATCAGCATTCGCAACCTTGCATGCTAGATCTACAAACCCGCAGTTCTCTGGCATCTGGACAAAGTCAGCCAAAGAGAATGGACTCTTACCATATCAGCATATCAAGGTTGCGACGCTGAACGTTCGTGGATTAAATCATATTGCGAAACGGGAAGTGATATCGAATATTATGAAGCAGGAAAAATAAGAGATCCTTTTACTTTCAGAAGCTAATATAAATGCAAATGTGGTGGAAAGTTGGGATGGAGCCACAGCCTTCTTTAGTACAAGTATCGCTGCAGTAACAAAAGAAAGGGAAGAGAAAAAAAGGGAAAGAGATCGCCTCACGGGAGCTCGTAATCCTAACGCGGCCTGCAATTACCGTTCAGAGCCGGACTTTGAAAACGCAGGGGTTGGTATTGTAATTAAAGACAGTCTCTTAAATTCAGTCAAGAATGTAAGGCAGATAAGTGGCCGTATAATGTCTTTAACATTTTCTTCACATGGTTTTGATGTGATGAAGACATGTTCACTCTTGAGGACCCTTGAGACTTCAGTCGAATGCCGTCGCTGTTTAGCGCTTGAGCTGATCCGGTTGCGCAGTTAGGAAAGGGAGCGTTCGCCCGCAGCGATAGCGGTTGTTTTTCGACATCCTACCTCTACAGTGGTAGGCGGAGCTACGAGACAAGGACCTTGGAGATCCTGATCTATACCATCAAGTTCTTCATGCTTGGATGAAGGGGTCTTGGGACCCATGGGCCAGATGGCTACCCACTGATGCTTCCCAACGGAACCCTCGGTGGGGAGCCTCCTCAGGCCAAGCTGCAGGGACTATGCCATGGACGCCACCCGGGTTCTCGACGACCTGGACGACGACTGGTAGCGTGCCCCAGACGGTGGCTGGAACACCACAGGTGATGCCACAGACGTCGCAGCAGCAGCAACAGCAGGCGACAGCCTTTTCACCCAGTGGTGCTCCACAGCAAGCACCAAACCAGTTCTTGGCGACGACCCAGTTCTCGGCGGCGACCTTCGCTAGTGCCTTAGGCAGCAGCAATGGACAGCAGCCCAATGACGCTTCACCTACAAATGCCTTCGCTATGCTTGGAAAGCAAGCTCCAGCAAGTTCTTCTACGCCACAAGCTCCGGGCTCCCAGACTCCAGAACAGCTGATTGCAAATGCCGTGAACCAAGCCCTGACGGGCGAGAGACGACCTTTGCCGTCGTGGAACGGCTCGCCAAGCACGTTGAGGTCTTGGTTGAAGCTCCTTGCATTGTGGGAGTACGAGCCGAATGTCCCCATGGAGAAGCGTGGGATCAAGCTCCTTCAATCGTTCCCTGAAGGATCTCAACCTCGACGGATAGCAGACACGATTCCCACAGAGGTGCTCTTGTCCCCTGGTGGCTATGCAGCCATCCTTGGAGCTCTACACCAGAAGTACGCACCGTTCTTGGAAGCTTCAGCTCCTCAAGCAATCGACAAGTTCCTGTTTGAAGGAGAAAGGCAGCGTGGAGAATCCTTCACGGCTTTCATAGCAGCAATGCAGCTGTCACGACAGGAGATGGAACTGCAGATGGGAGAGGTGGTCAACGACAAACTATGCGGGAGGATCCTTCTCAAGCACGCCAACCTCAATGACTTGCAGCGTGAGATGTTGCTTCTTCGAGGCCCGATGTTGAGGCCCTTTGATGAGATTGCGAACCTCCTCAGGCCACTTGACCGCCCAGAGATGCTTGCAAGAGCCCAGGAGTCAGGTTCGTCAAGTTCAAGAAACTACATGATCGCCTCCAAATACTACCAGCAGGGTGAGGATCCTGACGACAACCTCACTGAGGCTGAAGGCCAGGAAGATGATGGCGGAGAAGATTGGCCCTCAGGAGAAGAGTCGCAATCATGCGACGAAGATGGCAATGTGCTCTTCTACCTGGAGGACCGGGAGTATGACGAGACGGAAGCGATCGAGTTGAAGGCCTACCATTTGGCCTACCGTGATGCCAGGAAAGAACTTCAGGAAAGGAAGAATGAACGTGGCTATGTGCGACATGGTCAGCATCGAGATCGAGATCCTGGTCGACCTAAAGGTGGAAAGAAAGGGGCTCGCAAGCCTCACTTTGCCAAGTCTCGTGGCAAAGGCAAGTTCAAGACCAGGAGAAGTTCAACAAGCCGCCCGTTGAAGGGCAATGAAGAGGACCTTGAAAGCAGAACTCGATGCTGGAACTGCAATGAGTTGGGCCATTTTGCCAAGAATTGCCCTCTTTCACAACCACGAGGAGATGGACAAGGTGGACCTCCTCGACAGCAGTTTGTTGTGCACACTGGCCAGGCGACACCAGGTGTTCCTACGATGCAGTTCATGATGACCGTAGGCACAGCACCAGAAAAGCGCCAAGGAGACTCTCAATCTTCGCTGGCGTTCAATGCTACCCAGATGAAGCTTTGGTTGACACCGCAGCTGAGGAGGCAGTCATCGGCACAGAAGCCCTGAAGTCCTTGGAGAGAAGTTTGAGGACCAGGAATTTGAAAGCAGTCCCAGCCCAACCACCCTTTGCCTTCTGCCGGAGGTGTGGGTGGAGAAGCCAAGGGTGGTCAAGCAGTTGGACATCCCGATTGGTGTGGCCATGGTGAACGCAGTTGTGAGGTTCACTGTGCTTCCCTAAGTCTGCTGATTACCTAAATTTACACTGGACAAAATTTAGGTAAATTTTTTGATTTACTAAGGCAAATTTACGTAAAAATGTACGTAAATTGTAAAGTAAATTAATTTAGGTAAAATGTAAATTAATTTAGGTCATTTAGTAAATTAATTTAGGTCATTTAGTAATTTTTTGACTATGATTTCATGTCTTTTTTGCAGTGTTTTTTGTATGAAAAATATGATTTTATAAAGAAAAATCAGTGATCATTGTAGTAGGCTCATCCAAAAAAGCGCACCACCATACTTGAGACCACACTTGTTTTTACTTGAGATTCACCATTGCCTTTACTTGAGCCAACCTTCTCTTACTTGAGAACAACAGCCTGCCTTACTTGGGACCAGATCAGTTTACTTGACCCTCACTTGAGAAACCTCTTTACTCAGTTGCACATGAAATCACTTTGTGTACTTGAGACAGTGCATTGTATCCTTTGTGCTTGAGCCATGCGCCTTGCCTTTTGGAAGACATGTCATGGCTGGCAGTGCCGCTTGAGGAGTTGTACTTGAGGAGTTGTACTTGTGTCTCACTGTGTGACACATGAAAAGTTTCCATTGTGCAGTGAAGGATTGGCACAAAGAGACCTAGTTTGTTGGGACAGGTTCTTTCACTTTCACTGAAAGCAATGGCCTGCCTTGAAGCAGCTATGGCTGAGCACATGGAGTCTGTAGTCCAAAGCAGGGCTGAAGGGGCTTCCAAAGTGAGATTGGTTGCTGACCCCATGATCACTGTCTCTCAGATCCAGGATATTTTCCAGAACTACATGACCTACAAGAAGACAGGTGACTTGTGGTCCCTGGTATGTCTCCACCCAGTGGTCCAACCAGCTTTGGGTGGCACACTCCAGTGTGTGGCCCCTGGATCGCAAGGTCATTGGACTGCTGTACGACTTTCTCAGCATTGCTGAGAACACGAAGCTAGAAAGCACAAAGGTCCAGAAGGCTTTGCAAGTCTTGTACACCAACAAGGTTTTGACAGTGAGTGTGCCCAAGAATAGCAAGTTGGAGGATGTGCTAGACAAAATGGACACTGCTGTCAGAATCCTGCTAGCCATGCTACCATTGTTCCTTATGAAGCTGAAGCAACGAGCTTGCCAGGGGCAAGCAGGCTGCCACTGGCATTGAGCTTACCTGAGGCAAAGAAGTGCAAGGTGGAAGAGAAAGAGCCTATCTCCATCATGCCGCATTCTTTGAAACCGGTTCCATCCATCTTTGAGAGAATCCTTGAAGGGTCAAAGATGGCGACTTCAATGGTTGACCCAATGGCTGAAGCCAATTTGCTTGCAGAAGCTGCCAAATATGTTCCTGCTTTCAAGGGGAGAAAGACAAGCTCTAAGAAGAAGCAGGCAAGAGAAGGCCAAAGGCAAAAAGAACAAAAAGAGTGCCAGCCCAAAGCCAAAAAACACGCCTAAGCAAACCAAGACCAAAGATGCAGTGCCCAAGCAAACCAAGACCAAAGATGCAGTGCCCAAGCAAACCAAGACCAAA